GTCATAGATTCTAATGGAGCAGGAGCTGCTAAGTTCTCTGCAATTTCAAAAACATCTTGTCCACACACACAAAGTAATGTTGCAGCCTTTAAACCATCTTCCCTTACTTGGTTGACTCTGAAATAGGTTTCTGCTCTGGCCACATAAGTCTCCCATTTCTCAGGATGGCCCACATCAAACTCAGGCAGCCTTCCTATCTTTGCCATCATGCACTCTCTTCTGGAAGGGGTCTTTTAGCCAGCTTACCTCCAGTGATGCTTTACTGGCAGGCCAAGTGCTGTTTGACGCCGTCTTCCTCTCCAAGGATTCCTTTAGGTCCGTCTTACTCTGTTAAATTGTTGTAAGATGATCCCACCTTCGTCGCCAGTGTTAAATCCTTGGATTCAATGACTAGTATAACAGGCATTGTGTGAACCAAATGTCTTCTTTAATGGCACTTAGAGTCATACAGGGAAAACGGAGACTCACAGGCCTCCTGCTTCTTCCTCTGCTTCAACCAACAACAACGAACAAGAACAGTCTGGGTAAAGTTGCTACTGCTCGCGCGCGCTTCCTTGCGCATGCGTGCAGGCTGTCGCCAGTTTGTCTGGCCCCCGGGCAGCTTCTGCAGCCCGTTGCCATGGCAACTGCCCGGGCTTGCTTGCTGCAAGTCCCGGGACACAACACTTAGTGTCCTTTAAAAAGCACCAACTATGGTTGCAAGTAAGAAAGCTATTCTTGTCATTTCCCATGTGCTCATTCACATGGGAGACCACTATTTAATTTCATTGTGAGTTACACAATAACAATAAAGATATTCTATTCTATTCTATCCTGCAGTCTTGCACTCCCCTCATGGGAAGCTGCTGTCCAGAGCACATGTAGGCAATCTGCCATTCTCACCTTATCTGGAGAGATTCCAAAGAATTGGTCTACTCACAGGTTCCTTGGTCTTTGCTGCAGTCATCAGCTCCACTTTCATAGAGATCTCTTCAGTCCACCATTCCTCCAAATTTTTAAAAGCGAGAAGGGGACCCGAGAGCAAAACATTTAAGAAATACTGCTCTAATGCAGTACAAGGTTGCATACTTCCCTTTCTTCCCAGTAAACATACATGAATACCAGACTTTGAGAGAGTGAACTATAGTTGCTGCTCATCTTTAGTGTAAAAGCAAAAATAATTCTTGTGGCTGGAAAAGCTATTCACAGTGGCAATGATTTTAATGATACTGGTATTTGAACATTGCCCCAGTAAGTATCCTTATGTTGATAAGCATAATCAATGGAAGAATGGCTTTGCACACATGATTGTAACTACTGTGGGGACAAGTGAAATAGCTAGAATGTGTGAGTTTTGCTTTCAATCATCCACTCCACCTCCCAACAATGATAAGAAATGGGATATAATCATTGAGAACTATAGCCTTTTTTCAAAGTGGTCTCTTATATAAACACTAAGATGAAATGGAATAGAGCTGATGTTTTGCCTGCTGAAATCACGGTCCTATTTTCAGTAGAGATATTTCTTGTTAAAAGGATCTTAAACTTTAGTTGTGAAGAATGGTACCTCTGCCTCAAATTTTGGATAGAATTCTATTTCAATTGTATTAAGCTCTGAATCATGTATAATGAATTCTACTTTCTTCGTTTTAAGGAAATATCCTCTGTGCTAGACATTTTTTATAAGAATACTATATCATGTATATGTGTATTTGTGTGTGTGCTTATATGTCTATGTAATAATTATGCACATGTTCTCAGTTTCAATTGCTGAGTGCCCAATATTACACACATTACAGGTAGTCCTTGACTTACAACAGTTTGTTTAATGACTGTTCGAAGTTATAATGTCACTGGAAAAAATGACTTATGATTGTTTTTCACACTTACAACCATTGCAGCATCCCCATCATCATATGATCAAAATTCAGACCCTTGGCAACTGACTCATGACAATTGCAGTGTCCCGGGGTCATGTGATCCCCTTTTGCAAACTTCTGACAGGCAAAATCAATGGGGAAGACAGATTCTCTTAACAACCGTGTTATTACCTTAACAACTGCAGTGATTCACTTAACATCTGTGTCAAGAAAGGTCATAAAATGGGGCAAAACTCACTTAGTTGTCTCACTTAGGAATATAAATTTTGGGCTCAATTGTGATCATAAGTTGAGGACTACCTATATCACCTTTGTTAAGCACGCACATATAACGTATATGTACAGCTTATTATAGCCACAGCTTGTTCTTTGTTCATTTCAGCTGCCAAGTGCCCATTTCTACACAGGCCAGCAAATGGCCATTTAAAGTGTCTTCATCCTCATAGTCATTTTGCATATGGCTCCACTTGCAACTTTTCCTGCAATGCCGGTTTTCAGCTGGTTGGGCTGGCAACACTTGATTGCACAGCATTAGGAAACTGGACTCAAGAAATGCCTTTCTGTAAAGGTCAGTATTAAGTACACTTTCTGAGTAAGGATACAGAAACTTTCTGATGCCACCTGAGAAATGAAGTGTCAGATGCAATGCTTGGCACATCTGTAGAGAAAAACTAAAGTGAATCTGATCATGCAGCCTACACTGTGAAGATAAGGGAGGCAACGTAGGCTCACTTCTCCTTATTGCATGGTCAAGTTATCATCCAGCAACCTTGTTTAGGGTAACCAACTCCTGCCTGAGTATTTTGACCAATTGGCATAGTAGCTCAACAGTTGCTGATATTCATCAAAATCTTTTCTCATGGGCAGAATTTTTTTGCCATATTGCCATATTATCTGGGATTCCTTTTGATTCTTTACCTTCAAAGAAGTGGATAGGGTATTTTCTAGATTGTCCTTCAAACATGTCATGTGAACCTCTGTTCATCCTGACTGTGTAAGGAATAAGTAGAAAGATGATCACTTGAATATGTTACTTTGCTAATTCCTCCCTAAGTGAGGGGGAGCTTCCTGGAGCCCTGAAGAAGGCTATAAAGTGCTGTCTTTTGAAAAGGCCACATCTATTTCCTGTGATCCTAGAAAGCCCTCCTTTTTGGAAAAGATTGTTGAATCAGCAGTGACGGTTCAAGTACATAGCACCCTAGAAGAAGCAGATTATCTGTATTCTTTTCAATCAAAGTTCAGACCCAGATAGAAGACAAATATGACTTTTGTCACTCTTCCAGATGATCTCATTGGAGGTAGTGTTCCTCGCCTAGTCCTTTTAGGGTTCTTTATGGCTTTTTATTTGATCTGTCATAATATTTTGCTTGCAGTGGTTGGGGACAGGAATGCTATTTTGCAATAATTCCTCTTCTTCCTCAATGGAGATTCTAATCTGTTACTTTGGGAAATGAAGGGGTGGCCCTGGATTTATGGGGTACCAGAGATGTCAGATTTCATTCCCGTTTCTTAATATCTGCATGAAACTACTGGAGGAGTCATCCAATAGTTGGGTGCAGTATCATTACTATCAGCTGATGATACCCAATTATACATTGCTACCCCAGACTATAGGAGAGATGCTGTTGATGTTTTATCCTGGTGTCTAGAGACTGCAAAGGTCTGGATGGGAGTAAATGGGCTAAAGTTGAATGGACAGAGTTGTTATTTGTGCATTGGTTCACTACCAATCCCAACGGTGCCTCTGGATGAGCAAGTGCCACCTGTGAAATTATAGATTCTCCATTTCAGAATTCTTCTCGACTTATGGGCAGGTGCATGAAGAGGAGATGGAAACTATGTCTAGAAGGATTTTGCTTAGCTGAACTGGAGCAACAACCTTACATGCTATAGGAGGATTTAGCTGCAGTAACTTATGTCCTCATCACCACCCATATAGACTACTTGGGGCTGTCTTTAAAGACCACTTATAAATTATATCTGATCCTGAATGCAGCAGCCCATTTGTTAATAGTCTCCAAATGCTGGGAGCATTTAACATTGATACTACAGGCCTTGCTGTTATTATTGATTCAATTTGAAGTATAACTGAATTGTTGGTTTTAATCAATTAAACCTTTAAAGACTTGGCATCAGTCCCTTTCAATAAATAATACACTTCAGTGTTTATTTCAACCAGAGTAGTCAGCCTAGCCTGTCTTCATTATGTCTACTAAATCATATTTGCTCTTCAATACTTGTTCTATTTCCATGCTAGAAGCATTAATGTGTAGACAATGAAGTCCATGGAGTTTATGTGCCAATATTCTTTCCCATTTTCAATGAATGCTTTGGATGGAAAGGAGGAGGTCCCATTTCAACAGCATTCCACTTCTTATAGTCTGCATGTCTTAGTCGCTTTAAAACTGGTGTTGGCTAGTGACTGAATACATTGCTATTTATCCAGGTGAGAGAGAGATGAAATAATTCATTTAACAGAAGACAAAAAAAGATGATAGAGTTTACCACCAGACTGGGAAGCATTACATAGCTTTGTGAGCCTTCAAGCACTGCAAGGGGCTTACTTTCAGAAGAGGTGATAAAACTTCAATAATTAGTCTAAATGTGCCTGTTTCCTTCTAATCAACTTGCAAATTAATAGAAATAATTAAAATACAATAAATCTGCAATGCTGCATCTTTAAAAGAAAACTGACTCTATAAAAGTGTAATTCTGAAATCACTTATTGTTGATGAAAGACAGGAGCAGAAAGCAGCATAACTGCCTTTTTACAGTATGGAACTAGTTGATTACCTGTGAGAACATACTTGATTCATCCAAGATACTTTTAAAATTTGTGCTTGTACCTGTTTTAGCTGTCCAATGCCCGCCACTGAAAAACCCAGAGAATGGCAAAGAAAATTGCTCTAATCCTTATGGACATTTTGCATATTACTCCAGCTGCATGTTCTCCTGCAACTCTGGGTTTGAATTAGCTGGATCTGAGAAGCTGAATTGCACAGATCAGGGAAATTGGACTGGAGATACACCCATCTGTGAAGGTAGGCTTTAGGAAACAATGTGGGTTGAAGGCTAGAAATTCTCCATCTCTATAATGGTGGTTCATCTCCAAATTGAATGTAGCCTTATTTTTAAAGGTGGTAAAGTCATAGGAGCTTCAGAAGGTGAAAAATATAATTTGTTGAAAATTGCAAAAAAATGAAAGAAGTGTTTAATTTTCAGTAAGTCAATTTTCCCGATTTCTATGTATCCTATAATGCCCCTGGCCTTATTTTTGTAGTCTTTGACAGATATAAATCTACATAACATAGTTTACACTTACCGCTCACTGTCTGTTTGAACAGGCTTCTTGGTTTATAATTCCAAACAAGCAGCAGAGACAACAAATTTGATACCTTTCCACACCTTAGCAACAGAAACGCTTTCTGTATGTTTAGTTTATTACAAGCATATACAACATTTTTTAAAAAATTATTGGATTTAGAAACCACCCACCTCCCAGTGACTCTGGGTGCCTGACATAATAAAAATCAGAATATAATAATATGAAGTAATACACCGAAGTACATATGCAAATGCTCTATGCAGAACACCACATTTATTTTTCATTGATTGTTCGTTTTTTCCCTCCATTTTCCCTCTCTCCCATAAAGAAACAATCCTAGTGAATAAGCTACAGATATAATAGAGGCTCAAGCATTTAGCACCAAAGAAGCAGTGCTCTCCCACAATCAAATTAAATAATAAATGATAGGTAGAATATGAACTTTCTGCAGAAATGATGCAAATAATTTAAAAATCTTAAAATACATAAGCAAGTTTCATATAAGCTTAGTGTTATTTTTTTGACCTAGCATCTAATATTCCCAGATGTTTCTAGTTTGTGAATTTAATGTGCAGTAGCTCATCAGTCACTAAAGGTCTTCTCCTTCATTAGCTCTTTCTGTTATCAACTGCTTAATATTTTCTTCCTCTTGCCTCTTTCTGCAACATTTGTAGATCTTTCCCCTAAAGGTTTCAATTTGTTTTTCGCCAGCTCTCAAGTGTCCTGAATTGCAGGCTCCAAAGAATGGACAGCTCAAATGTTCTCAATCTTATGGAAACTTCACATATAACTCTAGCTGCATCTTCTCCTGTGACATGGGTTTCAAAAAAATTGGATCCAAAAGGCTTAACTGTACGGCCACAGGAGAGTGGACAGGATTTGCACCGTTTTGTGAAGGTCAGAGAACTTACCACACTGAGTGCTATATACTGCTTGAAATGCAGGAGGGAAACATCTGCAAGCAAACAACTAAGCTCAGAGAGAACAAACAATTCCACAGTTCAATGCTGAGCTTCTCTTCTATTGGAGAAATTGTTTAATAAATGAACGTACATGAACAAAATATATTAAGATGGTTTCCTATTCCACTTCCTGTGACGTATGGGAGACTTTTCTGCTCCTTCTTGGTTTCTTGCCACATGGTTATAATGTGTGTAACTGAAGGCAAAAAAACAGGAGTCTGGTAGTACCTTTTCCAATTAACAAATATTATTAACAGCCATATGATTTTGTGAGCTCAAACTTACTTCAGCAGAAGCACAAAATGATCAGACAGATGTAGGATTTAAACTGGGCTAAGTTTGGGGTGGGTGAAAGGAAGATACATAATGCGTAAAACAGATTACAAGCAATATATCATAGTTGTACTGTATTAAAAACCTATGTTAACAACCCATTCTGAAAATATCTAAAACTTTTTGATGTATGTGAACACAACACTTTCTCATTCAATGGTTCCATAAAGTAGCAGACTTCAAAATGACTATTTTAGAAAAGCTTCGCTCAATTTAAATCCTGCATCAATCTAGCCACTCTGTGCATCTGATAAAATGAGCTGCACTTCACGAGAAAGGTGCTATTAAACTTCTGATTTTTTTTTTGCCACCACAGACCAACATGGTTCTCCTCCTATATTAATTGTGAAGGAGCATCGAACTTTATTCATCTTCACCTTGCAGTAAGACCATCTGCAAAAGCCCTCCTTCAGTAAGCTACAAACAACATTGTGACTTTTCTTCACATTGTGATCATTTGATCAGCCTTTCTCCAGCTCTAAAAGATCCTGTGATGTACTCTACCTTTCTTAATTTTAATTCCTGCCCCACAGCCATAAAGTGTCCCCCCCTTAAAGAGACGGAGAATATGAAAAAGAACTGCTCCCATCCCTGGGGCCACTTCAGCTACAGCTCCGCATGTCGCTTCTACTGCATGGAGGGCTTCATTCTCAATGGAACAAGTAGGACTCAGTGCCAACCTGGTGGCCGGTGGTCTGCTGAGATGCCCGTTTGTCAAGGTACCAGGATCTCTTTCTATGCAAACTGCAATTTGCATGAGAATCATCTGCTCCATTAAGCCAACACTGGGTCAGTGGTTGCTGACATTTCCTCAGTTATTCTGTTTTGGTGCCCACTTAATTTTTTTTAAGGATCACAGTACAGTAGTCAAATATACATTTTTCTTTTAATCTTACTAAAATAATTTCAAAAAATAGTTGCAAAACAATTCTGTAGTGGGTGGGATAGGACTTCTGCCAAAGGTGTATTAGTGCTGCCCTCTGCTGGTTTACTCTAATTGTTTTCAGAGAAAAAGTAATTTATATTTACTTTCACAACAGTCTCTATGTTTTACAGCTGCTGTTATTGTCTCCTTTCTTAGAAATATAATAAAGCATGTAGACAACATTTCAAAACGGAAGTCTTTAATTTATAAGAACTTAACATGTTTCTTTTGATATAGTGATCACAAGGAATAACTTAGAAAGCACTTACTAATCAATATATTTAAACCCATAGCATTATTTTGCTGTAATATTTATTTCTCTAAAATGACTCATAAAGATAAGATGAAGTTTTTTTTTTAAAAAAATATCTTTCCCACTCATCCACCCCCAATTTTTTCCATTTTCTCAGAAAGTTTAGCTTGGCGCATTTCTTCATAATGTTACTTCCAAGTATACAAAGAATGTGAGGCATTGTTCAGATTCTCAGGTCAAGGGTATTTAGATCTGAGGTAAACAGATGGAGATCTGTAGAGCTACAGAGCCAATATTAGAATATTGGAGTCTTACAAGAGAAGAATGTACTTTCTAGTTGACTTATTTTATTTCTAATATATTAAATTTCAGAAAATGCTGCCATTTACCTAAAGCAACTTTTGCTTTATACTGGTGGAATCACAGCATCCCTTATTGCTGTTATGATCTCTGGGGGTCTGATAGTTCTAGCAATTAAGCGTCTTGGCAAAAGAGGTAAGGAGATTTACATTATCCAATTGGGGATTATAAAATAGTGCAAAACTCACTTAACTACTGTCTTGCTTAGCAACAGAAAGTTTGGGCTCAATTGTAGTCTGTAGTTCAAAACCACATACTTGTAAGTTCACTACTAGCATTGTATTGACCTAAAAAAATCCAACACTGACATTAGAATAACCCTTTTAGTGAACCAAAACAATGTATTCATATGGCATGGTCAGCCAGAATTCTTCAGAATTTGTGTTTCCTGTAAACAAGCAGCATAATGTTGCTTAGAGAGTCATGGTGGCCCAATGGATAGAATGGAGTATGGCAGACTAACTGTCCATTGCCAGGAGTTTGATCCTGAATGGCTCAAGGTTGACTCCGCCTTCCATCCTTCCAAAGTTGGTAAAATGAAGACCCAAATTGTTGGGGGCAATATGCTGACTCTGTAAACTGCTTAGAGTGGGCTGTAAACTATAATGGAGTGGTATAGGAATCTAAGTGCTATTACTAGTAACTGACTCTCCAATCAATGGGAATGGCTAAGTTTAAATTAACCATGATGACTCTACCATGTTCAGTGTATTAATATGGGTCAATCCAAAAGTCTGTCTTTTTCCTCCCTAACACAGTTTGGCTAGTTAGCAGAGGAGCAACTGACATGATTAATCAAATGTTCTGTAAAATTTCCTTTCTGGAAAATTATTGTGTTACCTAGCAGAGAAGAATAATAAGACTTATTACAGAAATAACAAAGAAAGGTTCCCTGAACTTGAAGAAGAGAATATGTGATATAAATATTTACATCAGAATGACTGCTATTTTTAACTAATGCTTATATTAATAATTGTAATTGTAATATTGTAATCCATTGGATTAATCTATCTTTTTGTCTTTTTACATCATCCAATGGGAACTATGACTCCATTAGAGGAGAGAAAGAAGCTGTTAAGTCATACCAGGTACTGACTGCAATATGAAATTACATTAAATTTCTTAAATTAAGTTGCAAAACAATGCAAATTTCCACAAAGATTCAAAACTAATTCATTTATCATTGCATAAGATTTTATAGATTTTATTATACTTTGTTAAATTAGTAGACCAGCAAAATTCTGTGGACATAGTATACTTAGACTTCAACAAGGCTTTCGACAAAGTAGACCACAGCCTACATCTTGGTAAATTAGAAAAATATGGGATAGACGGCATCACCACCAGATGGATTTGTAACTGGCTAGCAAACCGTACTCAAAGAGTAGTCCTTAATGGTACTACATCTATATGGCGGGAAGTAAGAAGTGGGGCACCAGGAAGTTCCGTCTTAGGCCCAATACTCTTCAGTATCTTCATAAATGACTTAGATGAGGGAATAGAAGGGGAACCCATCAAATATGAAAATGACACTAAGCTGGCAGAAATAGCCAACATCCCAAAAGACAAGCTCAAGATCCAAAAAGATCTTGACAGACGTGAACAATGGGCCCTATTCAACAACATGAAATTTAATGTGGCGAAAAGCAAGGTTTTACACTTAGGCAGGAAAAACCAAAGGTACAAGTACAGATTAGGCGAGACCTGACTTAAAAACAGTAACTTTGAGAGGGACCGTGGAGTCCTAGTGGAAGATCACTTAAACATGAGCCAGCAGTGTGTGGCAACAGCCAAAAACACTAATACAATCTTTGGTTGCATAAACAGAGGCATAGAATCAAAATCATGTGAAGTATTAGTACCGCTTTATAAATCTTTAGTAGACCGCACCTGGAATATGCATTCAGTTTGGGTCACTACATTACAAAAAAGATGTTGAGACTTTGGGAAAAAGTGCAAAGAAGAACAACTAACATGATTAAGGGCCTGGAGACAAAAACGTATGAAGAGCCATTACAGGAATTGGGTATGGCCAGTCTAGCAAAAAAAAAGGTCTAGGAGCGACATGATAGCAGTATTCCAGTATTTGAGGGGCTGCCACAAAGAAGAGGGGGACCAACTTATTTTCCAAAGCACCAAAAGGCAAAACAAGAAACAATGGATGGAAAATAATCAAGGAGAGAAGCAACCTAGAATTAAGGAAAAACTTCCTAACAGTCAGGACAATTAATCGGTGGAATGGCTTGCCTTCAGAACTTGTGGGTGCTTCATCACTAGAGGTTTTTGAGAAAAGACTGGATAGCCACCTGTCTTAAATGGTATAGTGTCTCCTGCTTAAGCAGGGAGCTGGAGTAGAAGACCTCCAGCTTTATGCTGATTGATGGTTAAATATATGAAATACTAAGTCAATAAAATACCATGTCCATAAAATGAAAGATAGGGGATAGAGTGGGACTTTCCCCCCCAAAACATGTAAAGATGAACAAATACCAGTATATACAAAAAGTAGATATTTCATTTGTGAATTGAACAATTTAAGGTACCCAGACTCATAGCATGAATCTGTATAGAAATACATACCTTAGGACAAATAGAACTTGCTGCTTACTATATTTGCTTATGACTGAAAGGCTTCTCCCAACACTTTGCAAATTGGCTTTTAATTTATGTACCATCATAGTAAAGAAACGGGGGATTTGGAAACATCCTGGAGCAACTGGGGGTACCTGTGGGAATAGATGAGTGAGAGATGGATAATTTGTCTTGCTGTGTGAGTGGGTGTCTCATGTGTAACAGGTGTCCCCAACCTTTTTGGTTCTGTGGACTGGCGGCAGCAGTGACGGCTTCAGTCATAGGGGGAATGGTTTTCTGCACACAACTTAAATCCTATGCATGCACAAACGAAGCTTCACAAATTTACTCACCACTCCGATAGCCCGGTTCCCAATGGGCCGTGGCCTAGTAGTGGGCCACAACCCAGGGTTGGGGAACCCTGCTTTAGCTGGCCAGGTTGCTGTGCAAATTAAAGCAAACAGCATAACATCTATTTACAAGCTAAGCCAACAGCCAATGCTATGGATGACCTGATTTGTAAGAATTGCACTTGAACTGTTTTGCGTCAAACTACTAACTTTTCAGTGGATTTTGATTACATAAATGTTAAATGATATCAACGTGTTAGCTTTTAAGGTGTCAAAAGACTCATTCTTATTTTGGTCTAAATTGTTGTTCCTGGAAGCTCAGTATAAAAGATGTTGCACTACTGAGAATAGAAGCAAATTACAGGATGAGGTTTTTTTCCTCACTCCACATTTCAAAAAATTATGTAGCAATTTCAAGCACTAGGAACATCAAATATTAAATTAATTCTGAGATTTTCAAAACTCTAATTGTAAAGTGTGCCTTGAGGCATTCAGCTCTATTTTCCTAAGAGATGTGAATTATACAATGATAACTATTTATCTGTTGCTTTTTAGTGATTTGGGGGTACCTGGTACATATTCCAATTCAGCATTTGACTCCATCTCCTAAGGTAAGATCAAAGATGCTTCATTTTGTCATGTCAATTTCTAAGGCCTTTATTGTCCCCTTGGATGGGGAGCAGCAGGAGTGGGTTCAAGGCTGACTCCTGTCCCAACCTTCCTCTGGCAACCAGATAAATTATTTGACTATGAGCCTGATTCTGGGCAAGATAGTCCATAGCTGTGAGCTTGCAAACAATGCGGTGAGGAAGTTGAGCCACAGGCAAAATGTCTAAGTTAGGTAATAGATGAGAAACAATGAGGTAAACTGATCTGAATCACCTAGAAGAGTTCATAAACATGAGAGAAGTTGACGCAAATACATGATATGTTGGTCTGAGATCAAAGCAGTCAGAAATTCAAGAACTCAGAAATCCAAGAGTAGTAAGTTGCTGGTCAAGGGAAATGAGTTTGTTACTACAAAGTTTGAATCTGTTCTTTAATCGAGTGTCAACTCCCTCTGCCCTTCCTTTAGCCTAATGTCTTATCCTTTCTAAAGGCTTCAGGGTTGTTGGATTATTCTAGGATCTGAGACTTGGTCAGGGTCTGTAAATGACTCTCGGCTATCAAAATTCTTAGTTGTGCAGGTTTCTATTCAACAGCATTAACCTCTATTGACCAAGAGCTTTCCCACAATAAAGAAGCAATCCACTGGCTTTACAGTATATCTTTTCCCACTGCATCTGAAAAATCCATAACTTACCTGCAACCACCAAGACACTCTCCATGGATCAGCTGTTTCAAAGATTAATATTAGCTTTTAAAATGGGATCTATCTACAGTGTCTGTCTGTCTGTCTGTCTGTCTGTCTGTGTCTGTCTGTCTGTCTGTCTGTCTGTCTGTCTGTCTGTCTGTCTGTCTGTCTGTCTGTCTATCTATCTATCTATCTATCTATCTATCTATCTATCTATCTATCTATCTATCTATCTTCTATAGCTGCCTATCTCTGCAAATGATATTTTGCATTGTTTCAATTGCTAATTGTCTTGAATGCCCAATATATGGAAATATGTTATATGAACTGAAATAATAATATAAATTATCCCATGGTAAAACAAATTACTGATTTAATTTATCACAAACTACACAAAGTATATTTTTTATAAAAAGAAAATGCACCTATCTCCATAAACAAACTTATCTCAACACCCTGACAATTTCTGTCTATGGAGATTCTGTCATCCAGGTCATGATTGTCCTAAAGGCGCTTGAGGGTACTGATAAGCCACCAAATGGCCTCAACGACTCTCAGAGAGAGTGCTAATGACCAGATGAATGCAAAGAATATAAATCTGTCTCTTCTCCACCATTCGGTCAGAACTGAAGAAATTTCTTGGATGAGAAGGAAAACGTCTTCAAGGAAAAACAAAAAAAAATCCAGTTGCCTTTTGAAAAAGCACCTTTGGGCCTGACAACTTCTGTGTTCCCAATGATTTTTTTCATAAACAATTATTTCAGCATTAAATCCATCAATTTAATTATTTCTTCTAGCACTACACAAATTAGTTTTAATTATAGCATTTTCTGTTGTGGCTTTACTCAAACCGGTGCTGCCAAATGAGTTGGATTTCATCTTCCATAAATCTCAGCCACCATAACCCAAACTTATAATTCCAGAAAGCATGAGTGTAAGTTGAAATTCAACCAACCTAGAATGTGCCATATAAGGATCATTTTCACATTAATAAATAAACAAGTTATATTTTCCTTTATATCCACAGAACTCAACTGGAGCATGCTATGAAGAAAAATGCAGATACAATGGGATATCCATGCACCTCAGTTCAGTTCTACTAATATTATTGATTAGGATTTGGGGTCACAGAAAGTCAGACAATAAATTAATGTATGAAACATGTAGTTTTAAAAGATACTTTGCATGGAGCTTCCATTCACCATCCAGCTACAGCACATAAAGAATCTCAAAACTTCCCAAAACTCATTTATCTACTGGCCAAGATGTTCTGAAATGACCTATGTTCTTCTTGTGTTGTTGAACTTCTAACTACTCATAACATTGCAAACCATTATTGCTAAAAAGATGCTGTAGATATGCCAAAAAGTCTTTTTTGGAAATTGTGACTGGTTTTCCAAGATACAATAATTTCAACATTGACTTTAAAAATTGTTTCTATTTTCTTGTATCAAGATAGAGATGTAAAGACTTAATAAATCTTGCTTCTTTCACAGCTTGTTTTTCATAATGCAAAAGAAAAATACAAAAAATACACAGAAAACATCTGTGCTCTATATTTTTGAAGGAGAATATCCAACTTTTCAAAATGTTTCTGTGGCCACCCTTGTGGTTTTTGAGACTTTACCAAAAATTGTTCACATACTGGAATTTCTTTTTAAATAATGGCTAGAATCTTGTTTTCAAAAACAAATGAAAGAAGGCAACTTTAGGAAATCGTATGCTGCAATCAATGACACATTCTGCACATGTAGCATACATGAAAACTCAAAAGTGCTGATCATATACTGTTCATTTTTAGGAGTCAAACATGCTTTATATTTTAAATGAGAATTCCCTTTATTATGATTAACATGGCTAGTTATCAAAATGCTCTAAAAATCAATACTATCTCAAAAGCATAGTTTGGTCAGGGCCCCAGGGCACTGTTCTGGGCCCAGTGCTTTTCAATATCTACATTAATGATTTGGATGAGGGGATAGATGGAGAACTCATCAAATTTGCAGATGACACCAAGCTGGCAGGAATAGCCAACACTTCAGAAGATAGATTTAAGATACAGAAGGATCTTGACAGACTTGAATATTGGGCGCTATCTAACAAAATGAAATATAATGGTGAAAAAAGTAAGGTTCTACATTTAGGCAAGAAAAACCAAATGCACAGGTACAGTGTAGGTGGCACCTCACTCAGTAGAAGTAACTGTGAGAGGGATCTAGGAGTCCTAGTAGACAATCACTTAAATATGAGCCAGCAGTGTGCTACAGCTGCCAAAAATGCCAACACAGTGCTAGGCTACATTAATAGAGGGATAGAATAGAGAAAATCACAAAATACAAAAACCTGAAAATAGAAATAGAATAACTGTGGCAAAAGAAAGAAAAGATATACCAATACTGATAGGTGCCTTGGGTGCAAATCCAGAAAAAATGGAGTACTACTTGAACACCATTATCATTTGGCAATTGCAGTGTGCTGCAGCTGCCAAAAAGGCCAACATAGTTCTAGGCCAGCGGTTCTCAACCTATGGGTCGTGACCCCATTTGGGGTCGATCGACCATTTCACGGGGGTTGCCAAGCAAGGCTGTCCGCCATTTTTTCCCCTTTTCCGGTGGGTGCCTTACCTCCCTTGGGCTGGGCCAGCTGGTGGTCGGCCTGCTCCGTCTCTGCCGCTTGCCAGCTACGCCTCGGCCGGCGCAGGGGGCGGAACCACGCATGAGCGGCGCTCCCGGGCAGGGAAAGTCCTCGACTTACAACCGGTTGGGTAGTCCTCGACTTACGACCGGTTTAGTCCTCGACCTACGACCGGTTTAGTCCTCGACTTACGACCGGTTTAGTCCTCGACTTACGACCGGTTGGGGGTCGCGGCATTAAAAAGGTTGAGAACCACTGTTCTAGGCTACAGTAACAGAGGGATAGAATCAAGATCACGTGAAGTATTAATACCACTTTATAATGCCTTGGTAAGGCCACACTTGGAATACTGCATCCAGTTTTGGTCACCACGATGTAAAAAAGATGTTGGGACTCTAGAAAGAGTATAGAGAAGAGCAACAAAGATGATTAGGGGACTGGAAGCTAAAACATATAAAGAATGGTTGCTGGAATTGGGTGTCTAGTTTAATAAAGAGAAGGATTAGGGGTGACATAATAGCAGTGTTCCAATATCTCAGGGGCTGCCACAAAGAAGAGGGAGTCAAGCTATTTTCCAAAGCACCTGAAGGCAGGACAAGAAGCAACGGATGGAAACTAATCAAAGAGAGAAGCAACCTAGAACTAAGGAGAAATTTCCTGACAATTAGAACAATTAACCAGTGGAATAACCTGCCTCCAGAAGTTGTGAATGTGCCAACACTGAACATTTTTAAGAAGAGACCGGACAACTATTTGTCTGAAATGATATAGGGTTTCCTGCCTGAGCAGGGGGTTGGAGTAGAAGACCTCAAAGGTCCTTCCAACTCTATTATTGTGTGATGACCCAGGGCATAGCACAGAGGCAATGCAGTCAGCTAGCAATTCGAACAGTTCTTTTATTGCTCCAAATTTTCCCCAAATGCTCCCACTTTTGCTGGCAAGCCTCCAACAAAAGAACACACACACCCCTTCAGCCGACTCTGGTTGAAAGTAGGTTCAAATACAGTCTGATTAGCACAAGAAAGTACTCAAGGCCATAGAGATAACAAGGAAGAAAACATAAATTTAACAAGTCTGTTTGAATCCTAGCTTGCCTGAGCAGTTTTCAAAAGAGAGAATCCAAAATACAGTCCGAGGTCTTTAAATATTCAAGTAACATGGTCAGCCAATCCAATAGTTTGAGTTTCCAGGTTTCCAAACAGAAGTCACAGAACAAGAGATCAGCAATAATACAAAACACTCCAAGAATCAGCGTTTGTTCCCGACAAATGCCCCTCCCCACAGCGTCTCCTTAAATCTCAATCTTCAGGTGTTCCTTGTGGAGAAGGGTGGGACGCTCTCCTCCTAGGTAATTGAGCCTGCCTGCATTGTTCCCTCTTTCTCTCCACTCTCCGTGCTCTAGGATCAGGTGGGGTGGCCCTTGCTCATCGCCTGAACTCTGCCTCTCCTGTTCCTCCTGTTCCAATCCTGAAGGGCCCTGGCCTGCTTCGGCCTGCTCTTCCCTACATTCCTCTGAAGCCACAGACACCTCTCCCTCGGCCTCCATAGGGTCCCGTTCCAGTTCATTTTCCTCTGCAGATTCAGGCTCAGATGGAGGCATGACAATTGTTATTGTTATTGTCAACTATCTGGTTAGGTATTGTTAGTTGACTTATTATTCCAACACAGTCAAATATTTCAGACTCGAACAAATCTTGCTACATTTCATTGTTTTTTTCATTGTCTATTAGTATTTACAACTAGAAAAGGCAACTTTCCTAGCATGCTAAAGTAGTAACATTGAAATCCTCACAAAATTCATTTGATATTGTCAAATCTCAGCCTAATCTATCTCATAGTGATGGAAAGTATATTATGATTATAATGGGAGGATCGTAAATGTAATAAAATTCATTATTTTCAAATAAATATTATTGTTTCATAAAATCTATATTTTTTGTAACTTGGAAGAAAATAAGGTGGTTTGGGGCAATATTATAAATTATATGATTGTGATATGAAGACAGTGATTTACTTATTTTTGTTTAAAACAACTAAAATGGCAGCAGTAGGAAATTGTAATGTTTTAGGTGATTAAAATAATACCAATATTTGTAAGGTGACCAACTTTTTTACAGTGAAAAGGAGGACACAAATAAATTGAAGAAAAAAATATCGTAAATAAAAGAAACATTTTATTCATTGCAACAATAATACAGAATAGACTATAATATGATAAATGCATAATAAAAACATTTGTAACAATAACATTTTATATTGTAATTATGCTTACATGCCGTGCCCCTGCCCACGCTGCCCTGCCAGCACTACTGCCCCGTGTAGAGCGAGCCCCGTGGCTCCCAAAGCACCAGCTGCACCGGCTCCGGCCCCGGGGGGCAGCCCGCTGTCGACACACCCCACCTGCAGCCACCCCGCCAGCACCACCACCCACCCTGCGCAGCCCCATGTAGAGCAGGCCCGCAGTTCCCACAGCACGGGGGGCAGCCAGCCACCGCCGCCCCTCATACCCCTGCCCGCAGCAGCCCCGCCACCCCTGCCTCTTGCGCCCGCAGCCATTATTGCCCTAGCAGGGCTGAAGATCAAGAGAAAGTTACCGTGGCATCGCCGCTCCAGTCTCCTACAGGTATCTTCGGGACTAACTAGGAGATGGTGTAGTTGGGTAGCAGGGAGGGGTGCAAAGTTCCTGCCAATTCGCCTTCGCTGCAGACAATTTACATGTGCAAAGTTTACCGGCCGGGTGTTTTGGCGTGCTCAGCAGCAATTCCTATTGGCTTTCGAAAGCCAATAGGGGGAGTAGCACAGCTCATGCAAAAGTTGAAAAAAAAAACCATCAAAAAAGGTGCCAGAACGCCGTTCTGAGCATTCTATGAGAAAAAAAAGCCCTGCAGATTAGTCTTCAAATATCGAAAAGGAGGACATGTAGGAGGACACTTTTCGAGGGAGGACAGAACTCACAAAAGGAGGACTGTCCTCCCTAAAGGAGGACAGTTGGTCACCTTAATATTTGTATTGTGCTATACTTATTTGCCTACTGAGTAGCAACTGTGTTTTTAACAAAACCCCACAAAAGTAGAGATGCCCCCACAGAAGAGGGTCCAGTATAGATCCTGCTCTGATCCCCAAAGTTTTCCACAATGTTGCAAAAGATCTCTGGACAATTATTTAGTTCTTGTCACTTGTTAGAGAGATAGTTAGACTATAAAATTGTTTGGATGGAATCTGTATTCATATTTCAGAACTGTCTTTTATTCTTAATCTGAACCAATTTAGATCCTCTAAGGGACATCTAGCCTTCTGAAGAGTTTCTCTCGAACGGTATAACTGATGTTATCATTTATATGTGTTTCTTCTGGCTTGGACGACAACTCTGTGCATTTTATTTCCAGCAAATCCTTGCCTAGACTTTCCTTGATTTTCATTATTTTCTCAGCCTTTCTTATATGTCTAATATTGTCAAGTCAATTCATGCTCCAGCAGCTGAGAACAGGACACACTCACAATTAAAAGGACAATGAGTCTTTTTACATATATTTATATTCATCACACTATACTCTTTGAAGTGAGCAATGTTACACAAAGTGCAAAAAAAAGGGGGAAAAAAGAATTTGAAGGCAACACAGAACAAGAACTCTAGATACAGTTTACACTAACATCATATCACTATGTTTTATCACAATCTTTGCAAACCATATTTTCTTTTCATACTGTATCAATACATTGTCTTTTGTTTTTACAAAGGTTGCATATCTAAAGTAAGCAAATCCATAATATAGAGCAAATAATTAATATAGAGATTTTAACTAAGACTACACCTCAAAGCAATGATTTCCCCTTAGGCCAGCAGGTTCTTCAAATCATGTACTCTGGCCCCAGGCCAGTTATCATTGTTCCTCACCTTTTGGGAGTCTTTTCCCTACAGATTTTACACCTGAGTGTGCTTTTTCTCCACCACTTTCTCTTTTTTCTCTCTGTGGACTGAATTACAAAATAATAATAATAATAATAATAATAATAATAATAATAATAATAATAATAATAATAATAATAATAATAATAATAATATTTTCCAGCAGGAACTGACCTTGACTTGATTCACACAGTACCCAACTCCAGTTTTCCCTTAGCACTATTTTCCCTGTATTGATTTTGCATCAGTTTTCATCATCATTGTTGACCCTGTTGAAAAAAAAATCAGGTCCAGTTCCAAGCTGGGAATAAAATAGAGGCTGCTTTTAAAAGAAGGTTCCTGTTTATTGATGAGCAGAACCAGCAACAGCATACAATTCTGAGACAGCTGACAAATTGATTTGATGACTACAAGGATTTTTATACAGTTTTACAGCATTTCGTAATTTGGAGGCTTGCTTTGTGTGCTTTTATTAGATTCGTTTAGCTTGTTTTGCAAAGACTAGCAATGGGTCTAAAATACTGACTTCCTTGGGTTTTAATCCTGTCAAACAAATGTAATTAATTTTACCCCCTTATCTTTTAGTCTGTCTATTAACTCCATTGAGCTCTCTTTGTGAATCAACAGATCTGATTCAATGTTTCTGCTTTTCGCAATAGCTAGGGGCTTCATGAGTGAAACATCGTTTCTGTATTTTTTTTCCTGAGCTGTCAGGGCCCACTTCAAAACCTCATCCCAAGAAAGCAGGACTCTTGGAACAGTTTCATTCCAAAAGGAACTTTTATTAGGAGCAGGCATAGAAGGCAGGATCTGAGGGTTTCCCGCTTAGATCAATAGGTTAAAAGAGTCCTAAGCAAACCCCACCCCAATAGTTCATCCGGTCGGTTTAAATGAGCCAATCCCTAGGTGTTAAGTCTGCTGTGGGAATGGAGCTGATAATGGGGTCCACTCCCATGCTTGTGAAGATGTTGTTGGGTCTTTGCATCTTCCCTTCCGCAACGAGAGATAAGCCAGATGGCCAGAGGCACATTCCTTTCTCACCCCTGGTTGACAACAAGGGAGAGATAGTTCAAAGAGTAAGTATGTAGAAATAGCGGAAAGGATACATTGTAGCAAAGCAGAAAACATACCACAGAGCCTTCCCCCCTCCCCCTCAGGGGAATGGCAGAACCCGCAGAAAGAAATGGAGAGAATTGAAATAGATCCTCCCCCAAGAAAAGAATGGGTTCTGACATCTGAGCTTTATTTTTGTAATTGGGGGGGGGCTAGTAAAAACTATTGGGCGGTGCGTTACCACAACCCCGTTATATGTTAGAAGTGTGAAAGATCAGGCCACTTCACCTGCATAATTTCTGATCCAGTTAAATCTAATACCAAGACGACTTCTGGCTTGGCATCGCGGTGCCGCAGACGCAGGAAGATGGGCTCCATCTTTCGCGTCTGAATTTGTTCCACTGGGGGACGCTGGAAAGGGTTGAAAGTCGCCCCGTAGAGGCGACAAGCAAGGAGGGGCCCCCTGTTTGAATGTGGAAGGACAGTGGCACTTCCGTTTGATCTGGGGAAGCCCTCCAAACCAATGGTGGAATTACTGACCATACCAATATGGCCGGTTACTAAGCTGCTGACAGCTGAAGTGAAAAGTACTACCAAGCAACTTTCAAGCAACACGGATGAAACTGGGTGAGACCTGATCCTCTCTTTAAGATTCTAAGTTTTCTTTCCTGTAAAAGCTGCCCAAAGCATTTTTCCCCCTGTGAGGATGGAAGGGAATTTTTACCCCACCCTCTAAGAAAAGCGGCGACTAACTACCTAGAGGAAACAAAGCAACTATAAAAATAATTTTAATCTAATTGGACGTATATTCTTTTGAAACTTGGGGACTAAAAGTGTTCTTTTTCTTATTGGAGACTTTTGTTTTTTATTTTTAAAAAAAATAAGAAATAAGACTTGAAAAACCACCATATAAGTTTTGGACTTAAAAAGCTTAAAATGGCGTTGGTGACATCTTGTGGCAAATTTGTTATTGCCTAAAAGAGATTTGGCTTGAAGCCCAGACTTCAGATAAAATCTGTTTGACCTTGACAGTTACCATCTTTGAAAAACCCAGCTGCAAAGAAGGGATTTCTGGGCAGCTTATCTGGCCTGCTTGAACTATGAATGTAAACTTTTACTGACTTTCAGAGCTATACTTGGGGAATTGCTTTCTTTTTCCCCTGCGTGAGAAGTATTTGTTATTACACGAGATGATGGAACACCTTGGATTATAAACTATTACTTGATAAACAATTTCTACCATAAAGACCACCTATAAAACGTGAAATAGATGTCCCATAGCCGGCTACAAAAGACAAAAAATTATTTTTAACGTTTGATTCTAAAGTCTTCAATTTAACATACTAGCAAGAGAATACAGATGAAGATCAGGAAAAAATCCTTTCCATGTTGAAATCAATACACAAAAACATCCTTTCAGCTTGTGACAAAATAAGAAGCAACACAAAGGAACAAGGTGCTGGCTTAAATATACAAACCCAGATTTTGACTACAAGCAAAGAATTAACAATGCAGAAAACAAAAGGAAAATTGGAACAACTAAACACTAAGACAGAGGACCCAACTGACCAACAGACCCAGCCAACTGAAAAATCAGAAAAGAGAGTGACAACATTGAAAATGGAAAAGACTTTTTACAAATTAAGAAATCAGAATAAATTTGAGGAAAAGGAAGAACAGACTGAATGGAAGATAAACCTATCAGGACAATTGTGGGAAATTGGAGTAATAGGGAGGCAATTTAATGAATACCAATGGGCTTGTTCTTCTAAAAAAACTTCAGCCAAATGGTCTTTCTTATTCCAAATAATATATATAAAAATAGAGGGAGAACTATTTGATGATTCAAAGACACTGATATGGAAGGTTAGCTGGCAAAGGAAGAAAGCCAGAGTAAGGCTGAAGAAAATAAGGGTTTTCATTTATTAGAGGGGATCTCATATTACTAACCGGAGGGTTGAATATGGTGGAAAATAGATAACTTTTAGAAAATAGAGTAACATTATAATTGAATAGGTAAGATGTGTAACTAGACTATTAGACTTCGGTACGAAAAGGGAAAAAGGGAGGAGTTGAGATAAGGGAAACCTTTGGTCACCTAACATAAAGCATTTGGAAATCATAAATTAGTGTTTTCTTGAATATTGATGGAAAATTAAAGTTTGAGGGGGGAAAAGCAATAATAGGACATTGTTTATATAAGGATATTAAGTGCAAACACAATTAAGATATACTGAACTATTGATTAACCCAGACAACACATATCATGGTTTTGACTTATAGAGGGGATACTGTATTATTAATTAGATGGTTTAACATGGTGGAAAATAGATAACTTTTAGAAAACAGAGCAAGAGTATAATCAAATAGATGTGTAACTAGAATATTAGACTTTGCTACAAAAGGGGGAAAAGGGAGAAGTTGAGATAAGGGAAACTTTGGTCACCTAAATATAAAATACTTGGAAATTATAAATAATAATGTTAATTTAAATATTGATGGAATTAAAGCCTGAAAAAAAGCAACAGGACATTGATTGTATACAAGGATTAAGCGTAAACGCAATTAAGGTATAAGCTAAAAATTATTGATAACTGTAACAAAGATGTTTTTACTTAGTTGATAATAATAATAACTGTACTAGCCCAATATGAGATAGCAGATATTAATGGAAAAAGAGAGGAAATATTTGATGTTGTAACATGAGATTTATATTAAAGACTTATGTACGCTATTGAAATATTGATCAACCTAGTCATCACGTTGCTTTTTAAATATTCAATTGTAAAATGAGAAAACCAATAAAATATTATATAAAAAAATTCTAATGCCAAGACCACATTTCTGCTTCCAGAATTTTTGATTTGGGGCTAAGAACACAGCACTCAGGCACCACAACCAACTGTAACAGCCCTAAGTGGGATTGTACAAAGGTATCTAAAGCGATGGCAAACCATTTCTGAAATCTTGCCAAGAAAACTGCAGGGGATCATTAAGCGCTGACGATGTTAACTAGTTGGATAATGCAACGTCTTCAAGCAAACAACCAAGCTCAGAGAGCACCAAGGATTCCACAATCAAGACTGACTCAAACACAAAACAAACAAAAACTTTAAAGCAGGGAGCCCAGTCGGGCCTTGAAATCTACAAGGCTGCAAATTTAAGTTCTTTGAATTTAAGTTCTTTGAAAAAGTTCCTAGCCTGTCTTTTCTAAAGCGTGAAAAAAAGCTTGTATAGACAACATTATTTGCAGAAACGTCTTCCAACTTCACTGTTGTCGCTATCTTCTGCAGAGGAATTGTGAGAGCGAGACCAAAATAGGGAGAAGCTTAACGTTGTTTCAACGATTTTGGTCCTTCGCGGCCTTTGTAGTCGAGGGGCGGGGGTTGCGAGTAGGATGAATGTACCGTGTTTACGTAGCTTTCGATCTTGGTGTTCAATCCCGGAAGACAGAGATGGCGGCAGCGATGACGGCGTCGATCGCCAGCTGGCCCTCCGGAGGCCCTAGTCTCGAATGGGGTAAAGCCGTGGGAGGGAAGAGCTCGGCGGCTACTTGGTCACGCTGGCAGTAATTGGGTGGTGGGGGGAATTGCCTCGCGTAGAAGAGATTTAGTGAGAGTTGCCATGTGGGGCTGGTTTGTTCCTTTCTGTTTCTAGTTGTTTCCCCTTCTTAAGTCCCCATTCCCTCGCCTCTCTTTAGGCCTGCTTCCTTATTTTGCTACTACGATCACTGTATGAAACAGATTCGTTTAAGAGAGGCACTTGGCCAAGTTTATGTAGGGATCTTCCCACCACAGGTTCAGCCGCCAGATTTCCCTTATGAGTCTCCCCCTCGTATTTCCTATGACCTATGTTGTTTTATTCCTATGTTGAGGGGTTGGCGTTTATTCCTGGAGAGGAAGAACCTTGTTAAAAGCCATCAAGGAAATTTGTGGCAGAGACTCATGGATTTCCTTTGGTTTTTTTTTTTTTACAAAAGGTTCTATATAAGCACTCGGTGAAACGTCAATTAAATAAGGTTGGAACCTGACTGAGCAAGAGCAAGGACTTCTAAAAAAATACATATATTTATTAACTAGATTGATGGTTTTATACACTGTTCTCCAACTTGAAAAATTTCTGGAACAGTTTGTAGAATCATTAAAAACCTTGACAATTTCTGCCCTCAGATTTATTTTCTTAAAAAATGCAGTTGAGGGGAGAAAGAGAAATTGGTGGTGGGGAAATATACAATACCTAAATCACCAAATGCTTATATTATGGTTATTATAATGGCCAACTCTAATGGAAATGGGCTGCTCAGGAATGCCCAAATGACATTCTTGCCTCTAAAGCTGATGGCCTTGTTACCCTTTTTTGGGGGGTGGGAAGAAGATGCTTCAGATGGGGAAATGGCATGAGAGAAAAATGTTGACTGTCCTCCAGTATTGCACTCCTGTTATAATTGTCCACAGGTAGCTTATGACTCCATTTATAGGTTGTGCAAAAATCTAATAATTTTGTTTAATTACAAATAATTTTGTTTAATTTCTATGATGGTGCACACAAAATATCTTCTGTGTGGCTCCTGTCAGTGGTGGAAGTGATAAAACATTCCATGATATTTGAACCAGATCCTTCTCTAGCTTTTCCTTCCTGAGGATGCTAAGGATTAGATATTATCAATATATTATGGTTTTTGACTTTGATGTGTTAGCAGAGAAACAGAGAAACAAAAAAAGAATTCCTAGACTTTGAGCTTCTGTAGTTTATTTACTTAGGCCTGTGGATGTATCCAAATGAAGATAATCATGCAAGTTGCAGTAACATGTTGGAATTATAATATAATATGACATGCAAATATGCCAGTGTCATCTCATGGGCTGATGTAAGACCAGTACTTGAAAAGTAATCTAGTTCACAGTGTAACATTGTTGCATACATTAGCAGTGGTGCTAAAAGGTTTGTGAATTTTCAATATTTCTCAATTTTATATAAGATAGTTGTTCAGGTTTTAAATTGGTGAAAGTTAAGAAATTGAACTTAATCCATATGGATCAAGTTTTAATCATTCAAAAGAAAGACCAGAGAACAGTAATTCCATTTGTGCTGAGTGAAATCTGACTCCTTTCCCCTGATAGGTAGTTTTGTCCTACCTCCTAGACCAGGGGTGTCAAACTCAATTTCATTGAGGGCAGCATCAGCATCATGGTTGCCATTGGGGGGCTGGGTGGGTGTGGCTGGCATGGGCGTGGCCTACTGGGTGGGGTGTGGCTGGCATGGGCGTGGCCTACTGGGTGGGCGTGGCCAGCTCCATGTCACTCACGTCAGGGGCACCTGTGCAGGCCTGGGCAGGAAGGGGGCGCATCCGAGGGTGGGGAAGGGTGGGTGGGACAGGGGCATGGTCCACTGGAGGAGCCTCACTGAGCCTCAGACTGTGCATGGGACCCCTGGACAGTGGCATGGACTGCCTAGAGCCCTGGGCAGCGGAGGTCAAGTTCCCAGCCCAGCCCTTGAGCTCCCACGGCACCAGGACCCCACAGCCCTGCCTAGCCTAGCCGCACTTCCCTGAAGGGGCGGCCAGCTGCACTTACCTCCTCCTCAATGCTGCTGCTGCTGTGCTCACTCTCCTTGGCCAGGTTGCTCATGGTGGGTGCAGGAGGACAAAGTGCGTGGGTCAGAGGGAGGCCCACTCCCTCTCCATGCGAGAAAACCTGGCTTTGTAACAAAGCATCCTCAGCAATAGGATGGGAGACCACCAGGGGAAGGCAAAAGGGCAACAGGGCTGCTGGTGGCCAAGTGCTAAAGCAGGATTTCCCTCAGATCCTCCCTCCTTCCCTCTTATTCCAATCTCCCTCCTTCCATCCTTCCTCCCTCCCTCCCTCCCTCCCTTCCTTCTCTTTCTTTCCTTCTTTCCTTCTTTCCTCCCTCCCCTTCTTCCCTGCCTCCCTCCTTTTCATTCCCATCTCCTTCCTTCCTTCCCTTACTTTCTTCCTGTTTCCCTCCCCTCCTTCCTTCCTTCCTTCTCTCTGTGCCTGGGAAGGAACGAGGGGAGGGGGAGAGGTTGGCAGCACTTCTCTCAAAGAATAAGAGTTGGAAGAGACCTTTGAGGTCTTTAGTCCAAGCTCCTGCTCAAGCAGGGGACATATACCATTCCAGACAATGGAATATCCAATCTCTACTTAAACGTCTCCAGTGATGGAGCATCCACAACTTCTGAAGGCAAGCCTTTTCACTGGTTAGTTGTTTTCACAAGTCCTTAGTTCTAGGCTGGTTTTCTTCTTGATTAGTTTCCATCTATTATTTGTCTTCTGATGCTTTGGAAAATAGGTTGACCCCTTCTTCTCTGTGGCAGCCCATCAAATATTGGAATACTGCTATCATGTCACCACCCCTAGTCCTTTTCACTAAGCTAGACATACCCAATTCCCACAAACATTTGTCATATGTTTTAGCCTCCAGCCCCCTAATCATCTATGTTTACCATCCATTTAGACCAGATGGTCCCCCTGGTTTGGTTTATAGAACAGTGGCTACAAACAGAACCTTCTCAGAGACAGCACCCCCATTATAGAACTTTCTCCCAAGGAAAATATGAACAGTGCATACTATTCAGCCAGGCATTTGTAAAACAACAACACATTTTATGGTCAAACAGCACTAAGTAAATTACTACTACTATTTTTCTTTTTTAAAATACACACTTTTAATATTGTTTTAAGCAGTGCTAGTGATGCTTTACAATAGCTGTCTTTGAGAGTTTTCTTGTAAACCACCCTGGATTTCTCAGAAACTTTTAATTTCGAATTAGATGTTGATTTAATAAATTAGGCAGAAGAAACAAATGTTTAAGTACATCTAAATCCCACAGACCTACTGCCTGCTAGGCGCATACTGCAAAGAAAATAAGGCATTGCATTTCTAGCCAACATAGCCACAGGATGATGGGAACTGTGGTTCATGACACCCAAAATATATTAGTTTGGGTAAGGCTGGATTAAATTATAAAAGAGCAGATGAAGGGAAGTATTTTTGTCTCCGACAAAATAATTGGGGGGTGGGGGAGTTGTCTCGGCCTTTTCATTTCAACTCACACCAATTCCTAACTTCCCATTCAATCCAAAGAGTTTTATTATTGCCTGGATTTTAGGGAGGGGAGTAGGCAAGAATAGACCACAAAGCTAATCTGCAAGTTTGCTCTCTTGCCTGCCTGCAGACCACCTTCCCGTGTATGTGTATGAGAGACAGAGAGAGAGATCCCCTTTTTGTAAGTTTGCTTACTCTGCAACTCCCTGCTGGCTCAATCTCTCTCTCTCTCTCTCTCTCTCTCTCCTCTCTCTCTCTCTCTCACACACACAGATTAATAAAAAAGAAAAGGAGGGGGGAGAAAGGTGGAAGCTCTCCTTTTTTGTAAAACCTCGACATCCTCCTCCTCTTCCCCTCCTGGCTCTCTCTCTCTCTGTCTCTCTCATACACACACACACACCCTTCCTGTTTTCTCCTCCTCATCCTTTTCCTCAGCTGCACCTGAACGGAGTGGGAGGAAGTTAAAAAAAAAAGAGAAGGGGTGGAAGAATGGGGGAAGCTCTCCTTTTTTGTAACACCTGGGCTTCCTCCTTCTCCTCCTCTTCCACTCCTCCCTCTCTCTCTCTCTCTCTCTCTCTCTCTCTCTCTCTCTCTCTCTCTCTCTCTCTCTCTCTCTCTCTCTCTCTCTCTCTCTCCCTCACACACACACACACACACACACATACATACACATATACACAGAAACCCTTCCTGCTTTCTCTTCCTTCTCATCCTTTCTGGCCTGGCAAAGCAGAGCCACACAAGGAGAAGCCCAGCAAAGTGGGGCATGGCCGGGCGTGACAGGGTTAAGCTGGGAGAGGAGGGGCGGGCTAAGGCAAATGAGCTGCTGCTGCACACCACCAGCCCCTGAGTGCTTGCTGTTTCCTGCATGTGCTCCAAGGCGCCCAGCTGGTTTGCGGTGGGCCAGGGCTGGGGCAGTGGGGGGGGCGGTCCCTTGCCATTTCTGGGACAGCCCCAGGGATGCAAATCTGGGCCCTCTCCAGGGCGCATTCAGCCCGCGGGCCTTGTGTTTGACATGTCTGTCCTAGACCATCTTGCCTAGTGAGCAGAGCTGCTGGGCCCAGTTGGAACTACTAAAAGCCTAGTCTTAGCAAAATGAAAAACCTCATTCTGTTTTCCATTACTTCTTTTCCTGTCCTTCAAAACACAGCTACTTCCTGGAAGATACAAAACCACTGGAGAGACACTCAGCTTCAGATCATAAACATAGCAAGACTCTCTTTTGTAGCACTGGCTCTGTGCAGGAAGCATGGCTGAACAGTCTGCTGGTTCCTCTAGTGCCAAGTGAGAGTAGTGCTCAAAAAATAGATCAAGTCAATGTCCAGACCCTAATCCTATAAAAATGTTATAGAAAGACTTGAAACAGTGGTCTGTACAAAGAAGCCTACCAACATCCCTGAGTTGAAACTGTTCTATAGGAGGAATGGGCTAAAATTTCCCCAAGCTGATGTGTG